TACACGTCAATGCCCAATCGAGCCGGTGATGACTGCCACAACTGAAAAGGTGTGGGTGTGCTTTGTACACCTCTTGGTTGGTTTGGAATCAGGGTTTTTGTCTCACTCCCCTAAGTGAACTACCAGTGGTCCACCAACCCGGTTATAGCCCCGGATGTCGGCTTTTTATCCTTTCACTATAGTGCGAAAACACCGCCACGAGAAGGCAGTGAGTAGGGCTTCCTCAGCAGAGGCTATTCGAGACGCTTGGTCGTATAAGAGCATTTCGCGAGGTGCAAGGGAAGGGTGACCAGCCGAAACCCTAGAAACCCACTCACGACCATACTAAGGCTTTCGGAGGCCGACTCCGACAGATCAGATCCATGTATTTGCCCACTGTTTTCCGGTCGGACGCTGCTGTCAACATTCTCCTCATCCCTTCGTCTAAATGGGTAACCAACAAGATAGCAACAAAAACAACCAAACGAAAGTGCGAGGTTTTCAAACTGAAACTGAGGCTACTTGTTTCCTGTATTGATCCAAATAATATGATGCGTTCCATTCTTTATACTTTTCCTTTGAAGTCCCTCATCTAGCTAGATCACCCCCTTAGTCAACTTGAAACACCGATTTAAACCTCTTATTCACCTTTGACAGATGTTTTTTGATCTATCAGCCACCTTGGACCATTTATCCACTCCTGTCTCAATTACCCATTCCAATCAGGTCCGACAAAAATTAACCACGTCATGCTTCCTCTCGTCCAACAATTCTGTATCTNTCTGGACGGTAACCAGGAAGGTCTGTACCTGTGGACTAGTTTGAACTTCATGACTGGTCGTATGCCCATCCCGGACACGGTCGGGCCTCATAATCCGAATGTGTTGAATCGCACGGTTGGCACTTTGGATTTGGGCGGTGGATCGACTCAGATCACATTTTCCCCACATGATTTGCAAGTTCTCAGACAAGCTCCTCCAGGCTATGTCACAGGAATCCGCAATGGTCGTTCAGTTCCTGGCACACAAGCACAGGCTGGGTCCGATGTGAGCTTTTTTCTGTATTTTCTTCTACCTGTTTGTTGCGAGTGTGCGTATGAGTACAATTCACACGAAAAACAAGTGCTGTGACGATGTCAAGGATTTGAACTTCTTCATCTGATTGCTTCTTTCATTTCCCAGCGAGGACAGGACAAATCGGTTTTATGAACGAATATTTCTTACGGCAATTCTTTTAGNAGCAGCTTGTCTACCGTCCAACCGTGTTCGCTATCTTTTCCGTTGCCACCCTGTGCTCACTCGTAGTTCCCAGGGCTATAGTTCCCACACTCCACACAGGAAGTAGATTCAGGTGACCATTACGTTCATCTGTTCCGCTGTTTATCTGCTAAAACCATGTCTAATCTCACGTGATTAGTGCTCTGATTTTGTTAGCAGAAATCTGTTGTGAACACGTGCAGCCCACCGCCAATCAGNCGAAGTATTCAATTCCCGTTGGTCCATTTGCAGACGTTATGGAAAAATTAGGGTGCGCCGTTTAGGAAGCCTTGATGATGTCAGAAAATCCTAACTGTGAGATCATTAGTAAAATTGATCCTGTGTTTTATCCCTGAGAGGTATTCCATTTTGATGCTTTTACTCAGGGATTAGCATGCAGAAAAACCAAAGGAAAATGCTGACGGACACCGGGGCGGGGGTAAGACACCACATCAACGAATCAGGCTTCGGCTATACACACATTTGCACTTAACCCTCCCGTATAAGCTAGAGGGAACCACATCCTATGGTACGGTGTTTTTCTCTTCATTCTAGCTCCGAGTTTAAGAAGACAAAACTAATGAGTCAAAAGTTCCACTTGTGTTTCGGGTTTTAACGGAGGTCAGACACCCTGTCAATGCAGATGCTATCGCATATGAAAAACAAGACTGTTTCCTGGGGTACAGTGTGCACTCCCGGCCGACCAAACTTCACAAGCATCTTTAGCGTGAGGTTGACCAAGCCATCCATCTCCATTTTGCAATATCGAAAAGATATAATGGTATCTTCTGAATCCTCATGAAATTGTTTATTCTTCCCTTACTCCAACAGTGATTGTGCCTCTGCAGATGTATACAAAATTTTCGGTAGAGATCTGCCCTACTTGACTGTCTCAATCATCTATCCTTTCAAATGGTAGACTGGTAACGATTCATCAAACCGCATTGATATACAGATTTGGCAAGTCTAATTGACTCTGTCAAATCATGAGGACGATGGGAATGTTACCACAGTCACGTGGTTGTATTGCCAAGTGACCTAATCGTCAGAAGTGTGTGTGTGTGCGCGTGTTATGTACATCTTGTGTACCGGTTCTCTCATGTTCACGTATTCACATAATCAATTCACATGTTCACTTTAAAACTTTTAATACCTGAATCACCATTCATCTTCGGTATCATGTCTTTCACCTTTCCTGCAGATGTAATTCAATCTGTTTCCTTATTTGGTACTCATCCAAGCCCTTTCAGTCTAACATTTGTGATTAGTAATATTTGACTTTCACATGCAATTAGCGTGCCACAATCAGAATTCAAATCTTTCAGTTCTGGAACTACTACGTTTCCTTTTTACTCGCGCAACTCTATCTCATCCTTGTTGTTTTACTCACGGGTCTGACAAGCACTAAGAATCAATCGGGCTTTTTCATAGATCCATCGAATTGGTCAGCTGCAACGTCGATTGTGATACTGGCTGTCTCAGTTCGTGCGAACGAGACCCGATATGGTAACAATCACCCCGAGCTTCCCGAATGCCCAGTGAACTTCTTTGTGCATAGCAGGGATGTGATCCCCGCGCAACAGCTGACCACAAGAGTTATCACAAACACTGCTAAACATGGTCTTGTGTCAGGTTGAGAGTGCGCAATCTGCATGAATCGCGGAAAATTATCCAATCAGAACACAAAAGCGGTTTAGAGAGTAATTCAGCCGTGTGCACGAGGGGTCACGAGTAAGAGCAAAACGACGGCGCGAAACGATGAAGCATTTGCACTGTAGTCTTCCACTTATGCTGCCCGATTGTACCTCAATATCGACCACTCCGTATTTTACTACAATGAATTGCACCTTAGTCAGCTGTCACTGATCTTCAGGCACATTGAACGTGTACTTCGAGTTCATACACACACACACACACACAAGTATGTGTAGTTTGATTTGTACTAATTTGAACTTGTCATCAACCTTGCATAAATTTAGCCTAATACTTACTTACATCTGCCGAAAGGTAGGGGTTTTCCTACAGTACAACACTACTGGTGGTTCGAAGTGAGCCGAAGTCTATTGAACTGATTTGATTCATACGAGTACACGTTACTATCTTACTTCAATCCTCATTTTCCCATATGAGATGAGATCGCGAATCAACGGGGTCCGTCGTGTACTGTACCTCTTCAACATCTTTCTTTTGCGTGTTGTGTAATGCATCAGTCCTCAAATGGGCATGTCCGATTGGCATCATGGGCCTGTAAAAGTGATCACGTCAGCAATAGAGTCGGTTTGTTCCCCCCGGTGGATAATTGATTAGCTAACAAAACACTGAGACTTTGTGACATTCCTAATCTGTCTTTAATCGGTCTATCAAGTTAGTTGTGCCAAAAAAATTATGGAATTATTTATTTTACACACGTTTGAATCCAGACTGTGTTACGTAAGTCACGGTACGATATTCTGTATAAAAAGAGAAAGTTTCCCAATGGATTGCGGTTCCCATGCACATCTCTCACTGCCTTGCGGGCCAGACTTAGGTTAGTCAAAGGCTCCGGTTGTGATTTCCCTGAGAAAATTCATCTACGGTGGTCTGGGTGACCTGAAAACCGGGTAAACAATCAATAAAACATGGGCAAGGAATAAAAGCCAAATAGGGCATGTATCCAAAAGGCACAAAGAGTGAAATATTTGTGTGCGTATATGCCAAGATGAGTGGAATTGAATGAATGGGTCACGCTGTTCATACATTGTGGTCAAATGTTGCTCACATTTGCACTTTGGAGGAATATTCGCAGATCGATCAATACGTCGCCCAGCAAACTGAGTAAAATGGAAATTCGAGAGCGCATCAATTTCCCCCTTAGATACTTATCTCCTACTAAGCTTATCGGCACTCTCTCAGGGACCTCCGAGAATTAACCACGATCCGGTCTTCGTGACTCCCAGCGCCTCCGTCGGTGTCCCAGAGATATCCACTTCAAACTCTCTTACCCTCGACTCCTCTTTCGTTTCGCAGCATCGTCCCTGCTGCATTACACCCCCCTCACCATGCGCACCAATCCGTCTGTATCCGCATCTGTATCCCTACGGGCCAGTGACCTCGCCAAGTTTTCGTCAGCAACCACAATAAAGCCTCCCAATGTCAAACACGTTTCTTGAGACACCCACCGTATACGTGATTGCAGCATTGGTAATCATTGGCAAATTCAAGTCCGCCAAAACACTCTGGCTAGGTAATGCACCTGTTTTCAACTCTTGTTGTAGCACCTCGACAAGTATTTTGGCGCCTCTCTAGTTTGGTTCAGATAAAGAAGGAGCAAGTCGTTAGATGTGAGAGCAAGATAACCTCGTTTAGCCACATCAAGACGTACTAGAGGGCGGCCGTTGAGGATACTTTTCATTCCGCCCATCGTGTTATCGTCCCGTCTCTATTGGCCACAGAGAACCGAAAGCGTATGTCAGATCAACCTGATCAGCCTCTTTCGTTCTGACTTATCGTAATTTCACTACCATTGTATGCAAAGGATAACTGTTGCGTTGTTTTGATTGAAGTTGAATAAGAAGAAGACTTGCTTGTCTCTATGATTCCGGTACACACTATGTTGGTGGACAAGCACAAACTCGTACCGCTTGTAAGCCGATTCACCAAGGTTTTCTATCTAATCAGCTCATACACATGCTAGTGCTGACAAAAGCTACACTATCACTGGTGCGATTTTCAACGTAGGCCCAAGCCTTCTGTTACCTAACCCCAGTTACTCAGTTCCAGTTTCACTTTATACAAACATCAACCAGGCTACCCTAAGCCTAAGTGCACACAGACTGGGGTTGTGCCGACGAAACTGGCACATCTGCTATGGCCAGCATCCGATAGGAATCCTGCTTTTATAGTCAACTACGAACCTCACTCGTGAACACCATCCTGCGCGGCTGAACGATCAATTCACTCACCAGTGCATTCTTCTCACCTAACTGAAATCAAGCATACTATCAGCGTGACCGAGTAATTAATTTCTCCTCCTGTAGTCGACTATTAATACAGGTTCCCTTCCGGATGCCAGCCAAAGAGAAAGCAGAGTCGATTCGTCTACGCAACCCCCTTCTGTGAGCTCAAGACAATTGGTACAGGCACTTACGCTTCCTTTAACCACCCCACATCCCCAGTAATTTTGGTAATTGGATGAATGAAGTAACAAATATTTGTTTATTGTGAATCTGACCTCTCAAGATGAAATCAACCCAAGGTATCTGTGATGTGAATTTTCCTTCTGAAGAACAATTTTTTCCGTAATTAGTTTACGTATATATATATATATATACATATATATAATAAGTAAAAAATTATGAGCATTTCACTTTTGATCTATGGTTCCGATCTTTTCCTGATCCGATTGTGACGCCCCAATCAGATGATACTAATACCAAGCAAACGGCTCTTCAGTTGAAGCTGCACTGACCGCGTTTCCTCGTTTCCTAACAAATAGGAAGCACAACAGCAAGTTTGGAGAACAACAACAATAACAACACCGGGTCATTTTATTTTTCATGTGCGGGGTCGGTAACATGTCTGTTGATTTAATAGTAATACTCATTTTCTGTTCTGGTTGACAGCTGTTGTTTGTCATGTTATTCGCTGCCCTCATTTGAAATGTTCTGGACTCGATTGATTATTCAGGTCTATTCACACAGTTATCTGGGCTTGGGCTTGATGTCTGCCCGATTCTCAATCCTATCAACGGCCACAAAACGTTTACCATTTGATTCCATCCCGTCCGAGGATTCCCTGTTCTCCCCTTGCTTCCCCGAGTCGATCAAAGTAAGTGGTTCCCGGACAAAACACCAACCGTCTTTCGTCATTCTCCCACCGCCCTGCCTCGACAATTCGAAAATAAAAATGATGTGCTGTGCTGTATTCGCGAGCATGGATTTAGTATGCCAATCTGTCTGGTTTTATCGACTGAAATGTTTAGTATTTCGAGGCAATGTTTGTTGCGAGTGTTTTTTTTTTGGAGCCAGCATAAAACTGATCTACTCATACAACTTCCCGTCCAGTGTAGTGGTTAATTCTAGCATCCAGGATCTCCCAAGGCCATTTCACATAGCTCATATTAGCTGGTTTCGGACCACAGTTTGTCAACCGTGCAATCCTCATTTCAGTGTAAGCTCTGCCGGAAAAAAGCAATGAGTGAAACCTTCTCATCAGAGATCATGTGGTAGGTTATTCAGACGCTGAGCGCCCTGACTCACTTATCGCGTTGTCAGCTTTCAACAGTAGCGTGAGCTGTTGAATTAGCTGTCGAAAAGATCTCTGGGAATATTTACAAATCGATATGACCATGTTTCAATAGGCCTGTGGAACACATTGAGAAGAACAGGACATGCCGCAAAAACTCGTTTTCAGTTACTTCTACTCCTGAACATCCCAGTGCTAATAGCACAGATCTGATTTCGAACGGGTGTCCACGTGGGTATTTGATCACAGTATCCAGCCTTCAAATGACTGCGCAAGTGTTGGGGAAGATGAAGTGAGCCTGGAGAGCCTAGTTACTTTCTCCTGGACACAAACCGGGAGATGGTAAATCCAAATGAATACAGCTTCAGCCGAGGCTAGGGCACGTTGATTCACTCTTCTTGATTACCCACCTCGAACGTTCTAATTTGGATGAAACACCTCGATCATATCCGCAGAGGGATTTAACTCAACAAGGGATAAACACACTGCGCTCCTAGTTATCCTGATAATTGTGGTTCTCCATCGAACCGGGTGATGTTGACGAACGCTATACGGTAGGCGCCTGATTCTGTGGCCAATATTTATAGTCCCGCACGAATAGGCGAATGAATGCACACAGGAGAAGGCTGCAGAATCGGGTACTCTATCTGGCAGTTCTATTTCGTGTGTGCCTGGCAGCCTTCGCTGAAAAATTTCTGTCCAATGAAAAGCGGTGAAAAATCAGTAGCCCCCCATTAAAATATTTAAAATGCTTTCTGTTGTTTATAGAAAATTCCTTTGTTCCAAATGAGTTGACATCGTGATAAACCCGGCCTTCACGACTCTCCCTGATCATTGTATGGTTTTACTGTTTATTTCAAAAATTGGCCCCAGCTTTGATGAACTAACCCGCACACGTACACACACTCGAGGTCTCCCTCTTTTTCTTTGTTTCATTCACACAGCCAACTTTTGATTATGTTCTCGCTGTTAGCCTAATTCGTATCAGATTTTAGTTACAAAATCGATGTTCTGTAATCTTAATCGAACAGAAGCAACCGCTTAGCATCCCATGGTCCTACAAGCCATTTCGTTATCCAATCTGTAGGCGCGTTCAGAGGCTTATGTGCTCACCTCAACACTCGATTCCAGTCCTCGCCCCTAAGGGAACTAGTATGCAGTTTTGTAACCATCACCCTGTTCAATATTTGTAATCCTGTTAACGGGGCTCATTCGACTGTCCCCCACCGTGTTGTAGTTTGTGCACAGATCGGACAGAGGCTGTGTGTGTGTGTGTGTGCGCGCACGCTTGTGCACCGGGGCTGCACAGCAATCTGTCGTAATTATTTGTGAGATTTTCAATTAATGAGTGTATCGGCAGTGGTAAAGATCTGATTCCGACTAGGGCCTTTGGAGAATAAGAATGATTTAGAGTCTCAGAGATACCAATGCACCGGTCTGTTATTGTCCGTATTATCGTACTGATGGTGATGGTTGTGACAATTACTTTTTGTTGTTAAATCACTTCATATGCTGAGATGCGAAAGCCAGCCGGTTTATTTTCTACCAATTGCTTTTCACCACCACCGCTCACATACAGTTGAACTGGTCCCATGCGGGTCGGAACTGGCGATTACAACCGCTTCCCCAATCCGCCTACCGGACCATTCTGTTGTCTCACGAAGAAGCGGCCGGCGCACGAGCTTTTGCCAGTGACGAGAGCATTGCTCCCATCACCAAACATTGCTATGCACACGCTTTACTGGTTTTGCGTGATCCCGTCGAGGGTAAGCAGGTCACTCTGGTTCCGTTTTTTCCCCGGGGGGGGGGGGGGATTTGCGAACAACAAGCAATCGCGTTTTCCCAGCCAGCAACAGTCCTGTGTTTGTTGTGTAATGATCGATTCATTATAAATTGATATTTGATCTCACGCGATTGGTTCCGTAATCGCTCGTCAAGATTAGAACGATTTCGTTCTTCATTTGGAAATGATGTACTTCCAACGACTTGTGCGTACTGTTGTCAGTTATGGGATCGAACCAGCGTGAGATTTTGTGCTCAAACAGTGTCAACCAGTTGTAACCACCAGGATCACACAATGAGGTTAGAGGCTTTCGATTGAAGGGAACGCACGCACGAATTTTACTGAATCTTCTTTCGAGGCTGTGAACTGTCTGACTGAATCTTTCTGGTTATAGTATCTGAAAAAACTGGAATAATTAATTCTCGTTAGCCCTGATGCGGGCGGGTGGACACAATGCTAGCACACCTTTCAAATCCCTACCCCGTTCATGAATATACAGTGTTGGTAACCTCAAATGATTTGCGGTTCACTGGATAGACACGATTTCATGTCGCTTATACGTCTAGTGTTTATGTTTATGTGAGTTGTTGCTGAGACTCCGGCGCCCTTCAGTTTGCCCAAAATATACACCAAACGCTCCAGCAAACCTGAGTGTGGTTAGCTCCCAAAATCATGCCTGTCGTAGTAGCAGCAAGTGAAAACAAAAGCGCAAACCAGAAACGCTGGAGTAATTACCAGAATGAACACTGAATAAATCAGTTTGTCGAAAAAGTTGTTTCCGGTGACTCATCATCTGTGTGGAATTCGCATACACCGTGTCTACCATTGCATCTGTCTTCGGCTGTTAGGTAAAGCCCGTGATACTTAAAGTACGCTGTGCATTAGTTATCGTTTTCTTGTACTCATTCATGCTGTTCACCTCAGCCCAATTGAACGATTCGTCCACTCTTTTCGGCTGTCTACTATCCTGTGAGTTCCCAGTCTGTTGGCGAACCCATCCCGTTCAGTTGTGGTCGTTCTCACATATGTCAGTCTCGCCACATTCCACCCGCCGATCCTTATACTCGTCTTTGCTTTTCACCTCGCTATACATCTATGCCCGCAGGACAGTGCATCATGTGCATTCCCAGCCTCCTGACCACTTGGAATCAACCGTGTTGGTTTTTTTCTTTCCGATCCTGCATCGGGTGTCTC